TAAATCTTCTATATTTGTCAAAATAAAGTAATGATTATTTTGCAACTGTTCTACCTTAAAGGCATTTAAATCTGGCTTTAGGAGACAGCAAACCCCATGACTGCTCAGCCACAGTGGAAGTAAAGCCCAAATGGAACAAAAAAATATATAGGAAATTCTTATCATCATTATAATCTTCTTCTTCAGACAAGGGAAAAAATTATAGCAGCATTAAAAATAAACTTTGCACCTCCTGCAAAGACTTGCATAGGTTTCTGAACTTTAAATTCCAAGACTGCCATGGGCATAATGGATTGCAATGTTCTGGCACTTTGGAACAGCAACAGCTAACCAAGACATGGCCAAAGAATGCTCTTCTCCTTTATTTTGCCTGATGGGCTCTCCTGCTATAATCCCTACTCACTGCACAGGGAAATTTACCCCCAGAACAAGACCTTGTGAGAGATTTCTTTTGGTATAAAATGGACACCTTTTTCTTACATTTCCCGTATGCAGAAACACCAGGGTTTGTGCATAGTACTGATGTGAAAAGAGCATATCTAAGACTACTATTAACATGCAGCAGATGTGATGGATGGAGATAATTGGGAAGGAAGCTGCTGTTTTATGAGAAATTCCACATTAAATTCTGTTAAATGGTACAGGAACAAAGAAACCCATAGTAATTTCCAGGGGGAAAAAAATAGGGTCATACCAAAGGCTTAAGAGAATCAAAATCTTTGATTCTAATTTCAACCTTTTAAAAAAATACTGTGTAATAAATGTACACTTATAAAGGAATTAAAAGCCATAAATTGAAGGAGAAATTATTAATCTTCTTTTTTAGAAATGACATACTATATAATTGTGATTTTCCTTGGATGGTTAATTTTTCTGTGCTCCAGGTTTCCCTTATTGCAACATTTTCCCTTGTTGGTCTATGATACCTCAGGTGGATTAAGCCCAGATTTTTCCCCCAACATGCTGTTCATACTGTACTTGTTAAGCAGGGCAGCACAGAGCAATGACTGCTGTTTTGAGAGGTAATTTCACAAGCAGCATCTACCACTGTGGAAGATCAAGGAGCTAGGACAGAAGATGACCATGTCCCAGGGACCTGCCCCAGAGAATATATCTTCCTGCGGGATCTTGCCAGGTTGAAGGCTCTTCTGCAGAGACAGCAAGGAGAAAAGGAAGAGAAGGGTTGGTGAAGGTCTGTTCCTATGGGTAGAGGATCACAGGTGCTGTGCAGAAACCCTGCTCCGCCAATGGAATGGAAGGGTAATTTCTCCTCTTCGGCATTGAGGGAGAGTCCTGGGGTTAACAGACGTTATAACCTTGCCTTGGTGGGATCCTCACAAATGAAATTCTGTCTTGTTCTGAGCACAGAGGTGTGGAATGCCTTCCCCAGATATGCAGTTAATTAGAGCTAGGGTAAAAACCTTTCCCTTCAATTTCCAGTCTGAAGCAAGACTCAGTTTCTCCCTATTACAGTGCACGTGGCAGTGTCTGTGGTCCACAGCTCTGCCAGTGCCATTCCCTGTGCTGATGGACGTTACTATACAGCTCACACAAAGCCAATGAAATGAGTGTGGAGGACTCATTTTTGTTATCAAAAACACTATAAACCAAGTGGAGGACTTGCTTTGCCTTAGCTGCCGTGCCAGCAGGATCCTGACATGTTGCTGACTGTGTGCAGTCCTGCAAAGTAAGCTTTTTGGGAGAAAGGCTACCAAAGCTTTACTGAAAAGCCTCTTAAACCTCAGGTGCTGCAACATCATCAGGCAGGGCAGTGATGTGCTGGGAGGTGCTTTGTGTGTATGTGCTGGGGGCTAACTCTGGTGTGAAGCAAACGTCGTTTGAATGGATTGGTGCCAGAAGAGACATGCACAGCATCCCAAGGCAGCCTCAGCGAGACATCCGACTGATTAGATATTGAGGTCAGGCGCTGAGATACCAAGGTCATGCCACGTCCTGCTTTTCTCATCCAGCTGGACCCCGATAAAATAGCAGCTGGTAAGACCACCAATCAGATAAGGTGTCAATTTTCAACAGTCTCAAATTATTGTTGCAGCCAGGGAGGTCCAGATAAGATCAATCAGATGCTGGAATGATTTAGCAATTTCTGATTTCTCCCCCATACCCTTTCTTTCCTTATTCTTTTTCCTGAAGACAAACAGTCATGTGAATGTGAACAGAGAACTCACAGTCTCTCACCCATCCTCCGAACAAAATGTGAGGGTTGATTTATGGGATGGATTACTTGGAAATGGTAATTCTTTGCTCTTTATGATGTTTTGTCGGAAGGTGCAGTACCCTCCAGTCAGAGCAGCTGGATTGCACTGAGGTTTTTACAAAAGGAGTGAAAGAAGGGGGGTGGTGGTGAGTACAGAAGCTCCTCTAACACAGCAGTTAATAAGACACCAGCACATTAATCATGTGAAAGATATTGAATCTAACAGGGCAAGGCAATAGTTTTTAAAAACAGACAGTTAAGCTACTATCTGGTAGAAAAAGGCTGACTGAACAGCACAGGTTTTTTGCCACTATTTGCAATTAGAGTTATTTTTTATCCTTTTTTTTTTTTTCCTCCCTGTTTGAAAGTCTTAAAATACCTTTTTAGACTTGTAAGAAAATAAGAGATAAACCATTCTGGGCTGTAACAGAGGGCTGCATAGCTCTTCCCCCTTGACCTGCTATACCCTGGACTACACATCCAGTGTTTACACAGAACCCTGCTGATCCCTCTCCTGAGCTGTGCTGCCAGGGCTTGACATGGGTGAAAGGCTCCTGAGGGTCATGGCACAGAAGAAAGCCCCTGATGCTGTGATACCAAGACAGACTCCTGGTTAAAAGAGACATGATTATCAACTGCAGTCTAGAGATGAGGCTCCCTTCTTTATGTGTCTGTGCAGGCAGCTTTATCCTACTAGATCATGTACACCTTGGCCTCTTTTATTACCTCCTGCCTGACTAGAAGTGGCAAAGCGGGGGAAGAACTAGAGTAATTTTGGTGCGCAGCTACAGATGACCCCACACCTCCTTGGTGTCCTTTATTTAAAGGAGCTTCAGTAATTTTAATGCTGTGGCTACTGATATTATAGTGAAACTTATTTTTCACGGCTAAACACTCTTTGTTATCAAATCACTATAAAAAAAAGGATGGAAAATTAGTAAATGAACCACTCACATGAGTTTGTAGGCTTTTGGCATGTGCATATGCCCTTCATTTTGAGCCTTGGTTAAAGTGCTTGCCATGACAAGTCGAGAGCACTGGGCAAGACAAAAGCAGACAGCACTCATAAATAGAGTCATAGATTTGTCAAAGTTTGAGAAGACCTTTAAGATCATCTAGTGCAACTGTCAACCCAGGTGTACCACCCTGTTCACGATTAAGCTCCATCACTTACCTCAGCAGTCTGACTAGGTAAAGTTTTGTCTTGCTTCCCATATGACAAATATAGATTTCCAGGGACATGCCTCTTGGCCACTACTGGATGATGAAATGGGCCCTTAAAGTAGGATGCAAACAGATGTCACCACTGTAAATGAATCATAAGAATTGCCTTCCCAGAGGACATCTGATGTCCATCTTGCTCATTAATCAGTCCCTGACAGTGATCAAAGCCTGATGTTACAAGGAAAGATAAAAAAATAATTGTAATAAATAGAGACAAAAATGCTTCAAGCCAGTGCTATGGGAAAAAATGTTCTCTTGACTCTGGACGAATCATTAGCAAATGCCAAGCAACAAAAGGTGAATAGGTGGTTCTGCTGCTGAGAATAATAAAATTTAGTTTCATGGTCAGTGTTAACAATAGCTACAGTAAGTGCAGCTTCCAGGGCTGGCTGTGTTTGTAAGATGAAATCCATAAATTCTGGGGGTAGATCATTTAGGTAAGACACACGAATTGCCTGAGAATCACCAACTCCAGGGAGGCTTGTGAGGAGTTCCCTTTGTTTCAGTGAATACTATAACTGGTGCAACTCATCACAGCTTTTTGTTGTTGATATGTGGGAACTTTGCTTCAGTGTGCTCAAGGAAACCACAGTGTTTCTCAACAGCTGAACACCTGACCCACAGTTTGAAGAAGAGGTTTTGTTTTGTTTTGCCTTTTAAAGGTCACAGATTGCATTTAGAGGTTTTTGTGTTTGATTTTATGGACTTAAGAAGACATTTGTTAGTAGCAATGTGGAATAATGTCTGCATGGATTTTCTGATGCTAATCAGATTAATCCTTTTTCTTTTTAACATAATTTTTCAGCTAAAGAGGTGAACTGAGAATAGGGAAGATGTGCATAGGAAATAATTGCTCCAGCAAGTTCTCATATATTTTTCTGAAAAATAACTTAAAATTTATCTTATGGTTTCCCAGCTGTTTGCTCTCTGAAAATTCTCTCTATGTCATAGCATTAGAATATACTGCAGGTTAAAAGGTAATGGGAGGAGATGCCTGAGCTAGCTCTAACTGAGTGGGAGTTTGAAATAATGCTGCTGCAGACACATTTCTTCTGGTATCTAAGCCAGTTTAGAGTGGTTGGCTATCTCCACCTCATACTGCTGTCTGGAATGCAGATATATGATTTCAATCCTTAGTAAATTAACAGAAAATACTGACAAATATTCACATACTTTAATATTTGTTTCTCAGTGAAAAATTCTTTCCTAAGTACATTATGGTGTAATTTCACTTGTAGCTGAATAAATACAAATATAAGTCATGCAAATGTGTTTGCCACCCTCCTCTGTCTCTGTGCAGCTGTGTGGGCAAATCCAGGAGCACACCAGTCCACATGAGCAGTGAAGCTGCTGCTGCTGCTGGCCAAAGAAAAAATCCTTGCCCAATTGAACTCACTGGCAAAACTCTTGTTGACTGTTTTAGGGACCAAAATATGTACTACAGTGAGCACTCAGCACATAAACAAGAAGACTGCCTGTTTTCTCTCACAGAAGCCACTGAACTTGGCATCTGGACTGTCACTTTGAGCATTGGCGCTAAACAAATCACCTCCTGTGATATCTTCTCACTCTACAGGAACACAGGTCTTTTTTTCATTGTGTTGTTCTATCATATGGTATAATTACCAGCATTAAGATAGGTTTTGTTTCTTTTCCTCCACACTTGGCACTTAGATTACATTTGGTTTTAGGTGTTTGGAATTTTTTCCCCAACAAAATACAGAAACAAATGGAAGCATGATATTGTCAGAACACATAACTTGAAGAATTTAAGCACACCTAACTCCAACCCATACAGTCTGCATCTCATCTAGAATCCCTGTCTACTGTCCAGCACTGACTTCGTAGGAGTCCTTTCCCTGCAGACACTTACAAGTGTTAGATAATTTCCTAATTAGCCTGAATTTACTGTGAGGGCTCTGTTTTAGTTGCATATCTATTATTGGAAGCAGTTTCTCTGGGGCAGCAAGGTTTTCCTGTGAGCTAGAGCTGTGGTGCAGTGAAAGCAGCGATGAACAGGCAGCTCACTTCCACCTCCTTCCCCAGGGGTGTCTGTGAAGCTTCCTGAAGGACCATGGCAGGAAGGCAGAGGCCACTGCTTCAGGACTTCAGCAGGCACACTGTAGCTCCTGCTCTTTCAGTCTCTTTTCTTTTGCAGAGGAATATTTTGGGCTTAAGCCTCAGGAACAGAGTGAAGATTGAATTGGTCATTAAATTATACAGATAGATCACCTGTGAAGGAATTTAGTTATTTGTAAATTTTCTTGCTAGAAAATGTAGGAGTCATCTGACAACAGAAACCTAACATTTTCAGAGGCCACACTTAAACAGGACACTCAGAGTAGATGGGACTGGGTTCCAGGCTGACAAATGGTTTATAAAGAAATAATAATAATAACAAAAAGAAAAAATAGTAATAATAAAATAAAAAATAGAGCAGAAAAAGATTTAATTTAATCTTTAAGTGATAAAAGCCACTTTGTCTTTTTTTATTCTCAGGCCTTTGAAATGCCTCAAACTTTATTTTGGTAATTGCTATGCAAACATATTTGATGTCTGTGCAAAAACATCTGGAAGCTCACAGGGGCATCTGGACATAAATATTAAAAGATCAACAAAAATATGATGTGAATTAGCCACGTGGATACCCATAAAAAACACAAACACAAAACCCTCCTCCACATCTTTGGCTGTGAATGTGGGTGCTTTCTCACTCAGTTTTAATGTGTTTATGAACTGACATTCAAAAAGTGACTGGTCATGACTAATGATTTGGTTTCCTTTCATTTTGACACTCTTTATCACATCTGCTTTATCTCATCTGATTTAATAGGAAGTAGGATAGGGAATGTCCCTCATTCCTTTTCCAAGCCTTCTTCTAAATTTTGGTGTTCTATATGGGCGTTTTGGTTCAGTTTGTGAAACGTGTGCTTGCAAGGCTCCACGTCCTGCAGGACACAGTCTAGACTTGCACTGATTTCTTTCTGCAGTGGGCAGAGCTATCTGAGAGTAGTTGCTGTGGGCAGTCACTGCTCTGTGCTACAAGAACACTTGTTTTAGTGTACTCAGGTCTTATGCTAGCATGCTCAATGGTGAGATATGCTCTGATGAAGGAAAGGTGACTCTAAAGTCCAGCTCAAATAGGGAAATTGAAGGAAAAGAACAACTCCATCCAGGTCGCACAAAGTCAAAAAGCAAGCTAAAGTGGCAATTCCATAGTTATTTTTTGGTTTATGCAGTCTGATCTCATGACATTTGAGCCCCTCAAATTGGCAGCATTGTGAGTCACGTTTTCAAAAGTGGTAAGCACATGAAGGGACACAAACCTCTTTGCTTTTTAATAAGTCTGTGGTGCAGATAATCAAAGATTTTAGAAGCTGACAGGAGTCAAGCATATATGGATTTGATATCTCAGGTCTTATTACCTTGATTTTCTCACAGTAAAAACATGCATAATAGCTTTCTGCTTCCAGAAATGAATACATGGAAGATTGAACAGTTCTAATACAAAAGAAGTCCTTTAAATTTTCCAAAGAGAATTGGAAAATGCACAGTCCAGTGATATGGATCAGCTACGCAATGCTGTGTCTTCTAGGTGCCATCACTTGCTCTTATCTCATCTTTTTCACATTCTTGTTGTTTTCTTCCTGGTTTTTAGCTTTGTTTGCTCATTCATTGCAGACTTCAGTGCTATTCATCTCATTCTAAGGAGAGTGTTCAGCTACAGGGTATATATATCCTACTACCAAATCTGGACTGCTTATGGAGTGGACTTGTTTTTAAATGGTGCTTCTGTTTCTTAATTGCCTGAAGACATGCATAGTATTTCACAATGGAAACAGAAATGCTGTAATTGGCTGTTGCCCTCTCCAGTTGCTAACCCACTGGGATATTCTGGATAGGACCAACTGCAAGGTGAACAAATTGCTCTAAAACTCTAAAATTGCTCAAGAATGGAAACACACAGATGTTCATATTTGATTTCTGCCCTAATATTTAGTGAGAACTCTATAATTTAAATAAAAAGGGCTAATTTTTCCCCAATTTAATCTCCTTTAAACAGTGTGGAAGTTATAAACATTATATTAATGTTACCGCTTTCATATTTAAAAATATGCCCTCTAAGCATTTACATTCAAGATTTGTTTTTCTTCAGATGTGTAAATAACACATAGCAATTTGCATCTCATGCATAAATCTTTTTCCTGTTGAATGCAAATTAAAAAATAAAAATAATCTCGTCCCCAACCCCTTTAATTTGCTTCTTTTCTCACCTCCTCATATTAACAGCAAGTTAGCTGGCTAATTCTTCCAATGAGAATTTTTAGAGTTTATGTGTGTTTAAAAAATTATCTGACTGAAGTTTTCTTCCACCGAGTAAAAAGAAGCCTAGAGCTGATTAATAGTGTTTCCTTTTCCAGTCCTAATGAATGTTTTTCAGGTTTTATGCATCCCAGATGAATCTATTTTAAATGGTGTGTGTCTGTTTGCTTGCATGAATGTTTCTCTTTCTTGGGATTTATCCCAAATGAGTTTACTTCTCTGTACCTTGTAGGACAATATCGATGCTGGCTTAATCAATTTCAATTTGCTGTTAAACCAGAAACGAAGCATTTATCAGGATGAACCAGGAAGGGCTGAATGGACCTTTCGTGTTGCTGAGCTCTTTTTGTGAAATCTGCTCCGTGAAGTTTCTGGAGCTCAGAATTTACAGGAAGCTCTTCTCTGACTTGCACTTACCACCTAGTCTGGATGCACCCTCAGGCTGGTTTTACTCTACATGTTTCCTGCACTGGCAGTGTGTGTGACTACTGATGAGTATCATGGGGCTCAACCCACTAAAAATAACTTCTCTAGATAGTCTTGCTGCCTTAGTAAAAATGCAACCAAAATATCTCATTGAATCATCTTCCTCAGCTCCAAGCGGCTCTGCTATTTATGACTGCGGAGTCACTTCTGCCTCCCCGGCTGCTTCACACGGAGCGCGGAGCCAGCCCCGGCAGACGCGAGAGATGCCAGCAGCAGCAGGAGCTCTCTGGTGGGTGAAACCTTCTGCTCGCACAGCAAGTCCCAGCCCCGAGCTGCTGGAGATATGGGGTGTTGCAAACTCCCTGGCTCCTGGAGGCAGGTGCTGCTTTAGTGATCAGCTCTGAACGCCGTGGCAAGCAGTGGGTGAGCATTTCTTCCGCTGCTGCCTGATCACAGCAGTGCTAATTTTAAAGTGGTGAGGAAGCGCAGGGAGGTGATAGCAGGATGGACCCAGCTGTTCATCCCAAGGATGTGAGTGGCACTTCTATCTGAGAGGGAAGGCAGGAACTCCCATTTCACTGCACAGACAGAGATTGGGGAGAAGAGAGTAAAACCTTCCCTAGATTCCTGTTTCACTTCAGAAAAGTGCTTTCAAAGGCTCATCCTCCCATCCCCTCCTGCAGGTTATATTTAGTTTTAAGCTCTCCTGGCTGCTGCACTGATAGCTTCTTACCATTTCCACTGCAATTAATCAGAACAGGGTTGATTATGCTTTTGTCTCTGATTATGTAAAGTAGGATCCTTCTGTCTAAAATGAGGGGACCTTTTCTGCTTGGGTACACTGCTTTCCATCCCCTTCCATCCCATGCCATGCCATTTCTTCAGCATGGCCAGGCAGCCAGACATTCCTGGATTCATGTGGCATATGTTGCTCCAGAGTTGAAATCAGGCCGAGGAGGGCCGAGGTGAAGGACTAAGCAAGCATCATGGCTTTGGTGAGAGGAGCTGTGAGATGGATGAAGTCACCATTTTTGGGGGTCTGTTAACTCACTTTTGTGCTGTGGCACAAGGGGAGATGAGAGGGGCTAGAGGGCTTTGGCCTACTTACTCTGCAGCACAGCCAAGCTCATCACTTCAAGTACACTTCAAAACCTGCTCGAATTGGGTATCACTCATGCAATATGAACTGGGGAGATAAAGTAGGTTTGCACAGAAAAATATCATAGTAAAGAAAGCAGCTCGAAATCCCAGTAGTCTCTTCTAACAGTCCACAGGCTGCTTCCATCCCTGTTTCACACAAAACATCATAAAGGCTTTGGCCCCCACTGTGAACCTGTCTGGCTCACCTTGAGGCAGCCAGGCTCTCACTTGAGATCACTGGTCACATTGGGACAGCATAAGCACAGAAAGAGCAACGAGAACATGTGACACCTTCTATGTGTTTGGAGAGGTTAATTGAAAGAGCAAACTGTAATTATAGGAGTCCCCAAAACTACAGACAGAGCTTTGCTGGCTCTTCAGCATTAGCTGTTTTCCTTCCTATCTCATGGCCAATGAGCCTGGCCAGAAGATATCATCTGTTTTAGAGTAACCTGTGCCTGCAAATAGAAAAGCTCTTTAAAAATATATATTTAGACTCAGCACTCCTGTGAGAGCGACTGCTTTGCAGGTTTGTAGTCTCAGGTGCAGAAGGGTTAAAATTATTTGCTCAAAGACTTAAGATGCATAGCTGAGCAGGCAGGAGGACCGAGGAGTTGCAGTCCTTAAGAGGCTACTCCTAACACTTGTCCATAATCTCTTCTTCTCAGTTAGTAGCAAAGGATAATATGTAACATTGCCTCTTAGGAAAGCAACTGCAGGTTGCTCTCCAAACGAACCCAGGTCAGAAGTCTTACAGTTACACTGGCTAAAACTGCAGGAAGTATTTCTCAAGGATAGACACACTATGCATCTTTTTCTTCCACCTGCCTAAACACTGAGCTGTGTGTTTCTGTTCTGGTCTTAAAGAGGAACAATGAATTGCAACTCCAGCTTGCAGGGTATAACATTTGATTTTGCTGTATCTGTGGTTAGTGGATCACATTCTTAATACACCCTTACTTGTCAAACAGCAGCTCTGTAGGCAGAGATCAAAGGAGCTGGCAAGAACACGTTTCCTTCACTCATCTAGGAGAAGATGAGAGGTAACATGATCTTGACCTCTGAAAGTCAGGTATAACTCTGAGAGTGGGTGACAAGAGCCAGGACTTTTGTTGATCATATAATAACAACAAATACTGGTGCCATAAGACAGACATGGATTAATTCTTTGGAGGGAGTTGTATTTTTGCAGATTCTAGCCCTTATAAAACTAGAATTGACTGGGTAAATGTATCCTGCATTATTTATAATTTTAAGTATTTTTAGTATATATATATATGAACAAAGCAAGCTGATTCTTAGTAGATTGTGTTGCTTAATTTTGGGTGGAGAAGAAGCATCTTCTTGAGTGAATTACATGTTCAGATTATGTCACAAAGACTGTCTCTGCAGAGTTTTATTGCTCCCTAAGTAATGTACTGTCTGCCCTTTACCAGGAAGATTTTATACCATCAACAAACAGCAGGGGAGTGAAACATATCATCTGTAGGACATAGTAAACTCACACAAGTAAATGTGGCTATAAACTATAAGTATGCTAGCAAATTTACAGATGTTCATTCTATTCCAGATGCAGCTACTGTATCTCCAAGGCCTCACACACATAGTGCAGAAGCTGCTTTGCCATGTTGCATGGAGAATTAATGAAGTCACATGATGGTATTGTTTCCAATATATTGTTTTTCCCCAGCTGCTAAATTACATTACAAAACACTAAATAAACACTCAAAATTTTCCTTAAATAAATGTATCACGTAGCAATTATTGCAGCTAATCTCAGTGCGGGTATGTGACTAAAAGTGGGAGGTGTCAATCAATGTAATTAGAAAAGATGTGCCTGAAAAACAACCTCTGCATTACAATATTGTACCCACTATAAACACCCTACCACATGGTGTGTCCCTTCTTAGTTACAAAGTGTAAGGCCTGTGTTGATTCAGGCTTGAATTACGCAGTAAATCTTTTTCGTGAATTTATAGACTGTCTCTTTGAAGGCAGAATTGTGCCAGCCTATTTATTTAAAGTCTTTTTTTTCACTGCAGCAGCATGCTTTGGAGATTTAATACCTTATATGCAAAAGCCCTGAGTGACAGCAGCTCTGCCAGCTCATGATACTTATAATGCATTACATATTATCAATAAAATGTTGCAAGACATGTCATAGATCTTATTAACATAACTTTAAATTATGGGTACAAGTTTGACCTATCTATTGATGGATTAGAAACAAAGCTTAGACTGTTAAACAGAATTAAAAGGCTCAGGGCATCATTAAACAAACTGTTTCAAGTAAAATGTCTGTATTTCACCATAAAAAGTCAAAGCATACCTGAAAAGCTAGCTTGTCCCCAAGGCAACTTAGAAAGTTTAAAGATATCCATGAATAGCTCTCAAGTATTTTTTAAAAATTATTTTTTCCATTGCTCTCATATTAATTACCATCCAAATTTCTCCCAGAAACTTTGGCCACCCTAAAAATTTTTGATCTGTGTCTCTCCCAGTCCCCCAAAGCAAACCAGAGAAAATAAACTCTGAACTGTCAGGAGGTCTAGACACCCAAACCTTTGATATCAGTGACATGTAGATTGCCTGCCTGTTGTGTCCCATTTCTGAGTTGAGATTCATTATGTCAAGACTGGAGAGTGCAGTGACGAGGCTCCAGAGATTTACAAGTGACTCCTCAGACATCAGGAGTCTATGCTGGCACATCGAGCTGAAGACTTTGTACATTAGGTCACAAATGACTCTTCTGCAAATTTTCAGAGACATTTTGTAGGGTTTGTTTATTTGAGCATGGTTAGGTAGCTTGACTAGTTTTTACTTATGGAGTGGGTTTTGGCATTTTAACTGTGGATTCTTTGCCACATCTTTTTGTGTTCTCTTTGTGTTAGCACTTTGGCAACAGGGAGAAAATTAAGGTAAGTCATTTAAGTGACTTGCCTGAAGTTATGTAGAAAAACAAGGATAGAGCCATAAACAGCTCAGAGATGTCCCGTTTCCTAGCCCTCCACATATATCCTGGAAATATTCAATTTTTTCTGAGTGTCATTAGGATTAACTGTCTAGCATGGTAAATAAGGCTTCTTCTCTCCATACTTTATTGTTTAAAACATTGAAATTTATTTTTAGGATGTGAACTTCTTTGTTAGATGGGTAGTGGAGTGTGCTGAGTCTAATAAAGATGGAAGGCAAGAAGTCCAGAAATTACTGTCTTTTTTTCATTATTTCTATAATACAATTTCTGGATCAAGTACAAAACCATGGTAGAGAGAATTTTTCCATTGACTTGAGAGGGAATGGAGAGAGACATTGAAAAGAAATGAGTCCAGCTGATGAGTAAGCTGGCATGCATCACTGAGGTGTTAGTTTATTCTATTAGAGTGGACTTTGTTTTACTGTTGATAAAAAAACCCAAAATATCTCTGTCCATTACACATTAAATTAAGGGAACATACACATGCTCCATAATCACAACTCTCTCTCCCTGAGCACTGATCAGTAATAGTGACCTTTTAGACAGGAGGTGGAAGGTGATAGCCTAAATAGTTTTGTGTTAATTATGACTCCTCTGTGCTCTGGAAAATCCTAAAATTTTAACAACTTTGCTATGCCTCAGGTCCCCTGAGACCTGACATTGGCAACAACTAAAGAACATATATATTTGGACAACAGTGTTATAAGTAATTCTGCTGCTTTGTATTTGTTTTGATTTAGGTTTTGTCTGTTTGTTTTGTTGTAATCTCTCCTAGACTGATAAAAGCTTTATTTGACAAGTTCAAAAAAGTTAGTTTTCACTCATATTTATTCAGTCTCATATACTGAATAAATAAAGGCACAAATAAAAGCAGCTTGAGCTCTGCAGTGGACTTCCCTGACTATTTCAGTTAACCTTAAAGTTCACTGCACCGAAAACTAATAGCATTTACTTGTCAAGAAGCCAGAGTAATGACATTTTGTGCCATTATTCTAATGCATTTTTCACTGTGCATTTTCTTTAATTATTTCCATGAGTAATATCATTATGCATTCATGCCAATACAATTCTGATAATTAATTTACATTATGGCAATTTCTTAATGATTTTGATGTCAAAGTTAATAGCAACATCTAATAGTTGATCTGTTTGAGCTGACATAAATTTAATGTATTAATGCCAAAACCAACAGCAGCATCAAATTACATAGCAGAAAAATAAACATCCACAGGGTAAAATCCTCAGTAGAAAAGTCTTGATCCTTACCCGAGGTTGATAGGTTCAAAATAAAACCAAGACCCCTAGACATGATGCATGTCAGATTTTTACTTCCTCTTGTTTTATTTATTTATTTACACATTAATGGTATTGATGTCTCATGTTTTAGAGATCTAGCGATATGCTATCATATAAAAGATGTTGTACTCTTGCCTCCAGATAGATGCATGTATTCCATATATTAAAAGGAAAAAAATGCATTAATCAAGCCTTTATCTTTCTAGTTCTTTAAGCACTATTCTATAGGAGGATAATTTAGGGATGATGTCTGAACCCAAATTTGTATCTTGGTTTGTGATTTCAGTTTGCATCATGTAGTAAGAAAATCAACACAATAGACTTCATGTGAAGGCAAATATTGTTAATAACAATAAAACAAAAAACAGGGCACTGTAAAATTATGTTCAAGTTCAATATTTTTTGTGCATTTTTGCTATATGGAATTGATGCATAGATAAAGAGATAATTGTATATGTTACTATATATATGTATATATCTTCTTAATATTGACTCATATAAGTAATACAAGACAATTAACATAAACCCACTTTCTTCAAGTCTTTGTCCAGGAGATTTGAAGATCTCTTTACAAGCCTATAGGTATTTTTTTTCCAGTTAAATATTTTAGTACACTTTAGTATTGAAAAAAATGTATGTGAAACAAGTTATGATAGCCATAAAATGGTGATGGTTCTTTTCCCTTTATATTTTTAATGAAAAGAAAAGCCTCATTCCATGACAGAGTCACTAACATAATATTTATTTCCCCCTGCTTCAGCCTGTTAAATGTATAGATGAAATGTTAAAAACCATTAGAAATAAAATTGATCCTGCCATATATCTCAGCCTTTCCCTGAACTGGCTTTTCATCAATTATATCCACCAAGGGAGTGCACATTTCATTTTACATTGTAAGGAGATAATTATACAACCTCAATTAGACCTTTCATTGCTGGAGTATAAAGGGCTGCTAGTGCAGACCTAGATCGTTTACCTCTAAAATGCACAACCTTTACTTCTTCAGACTCCACAAGCAAGGTGCCTGTCCCTACCTGCTGAACAAGAAGCCATGTCTGATTGCTTTTAGCCTCTCTTAAACTTGTCTTATGAGCATGAGGACACATGCTTGCTTGAAGCCAGTCCCCCAAGATTCGGACATGTCACAGTCCATTTTCTGCATCCATCCTGTGGAGATCAACACTGCTCCACCCAGACACAAAGTTTGTTGAATGATTTTAAGTCCCAGTGGTGTGGGTGAAGGTGCAAACTGCAGCAATAGCTTCATCCCTCATGTATATTTCTGGGGAGCTGTACTTTGGAAGAAGCTTGTGGGATGAGAGGGACTTTGTTTGCTCAGAATTTTTAACTTGTGCAGTGTACCATGAGTGCACAAGTTCAGCTACACACCTGCAAATGTAGTGCTGTGGTGGTGTAGGAGAATAGAGACAATGCTGAAGGCAATCTTACCCCTGAGGAACTGCAGCTGTACAAATTACCAAAGAGTAGGAACAGCCTTGCCTTTAATAGGGCACAGCTGTGTCCAATAAGGATGGTCCAGGAAGGATGGGTGTTATAAAAGA